CGTTTTGGGGACATCTACATTTCCTATTATAAACACGACTTTGAATCTTTCATTAGTTCCTGAGGAATCCTTATTCCGTGGTACTTCCATCCTTGGCTACATGTGTGGACATGGGAAAGTAGTTTCCATGGAGGTTCTCTGATTGTTTTTATAGTCAAATCTTGGTCGATTGTCCTAATTCTTTGCTTAATATTTGCTATAAATTCCCCCGAGAATTTCGTCTTGTTGATGCTAAGCTTGAAGTATTTTTGCTAATTTTCTTTCTTTTGATTTATCGCATATGGTCATAAAAATTCGTAAAAACTCATTAAAATTCAGGTCCTTCTATTTTCTCATATCTACTTGTCGTATGAGGTTTTTTGATTTATTTGGCATATTTCCATAATGGGTTTCCATAGTGTGACCGTTATTTCTCCCACATCGCTGCCATATGTGACCTCGAGATGAGTGTGCTGGATGTGAAAAGCACCTACTTATATGGGGAACTGGAGGAGCCCACCTACATGGAGCAGCCAGAGGGATTTAGGGATGGCACCTCAAGAGTATGTTTGCTTCTCCATGCCCTATATGGCCTCAAGCAATCTGGGCATGCGTGGAACAAAACTCTCGACACTCACCTTAAATCCCTGGGATACAGATGCCTTAACGCCGACCATTGTGTTTACATCCGACAAGAATCACCACAGATCTTTGACATATTTAGTCTGTGGGTCAATGACTTTGCCTTATTCTGCACAAAGGGAAGAACAGAGAAAAATAAACAGGAAATCGCAGAAAAATGGGAAACCACGGACCAAGGAGAAGAACCCCGCATTATTGTTGGGATCCAAATATATCAGGAGAGGGAAAAGAGGCATATCACAATCCACCAAGGGTCTTATATACCCCGGATCCTTGAGCATTTTGGGATGGCAAACGCAGATACTGTGGCAACCCCGATGGACCCTTCAAGTAAACTGGAGCTTGTGACCGATAATGACCTTTTTGAATACCCTACCTTATATTGCGAGGCAATCAGGGCCCTCCTATACGCCTCTACGGCCACTAGACCGGATATTACTTATGCAGTCCAAGCGCTGAGCCAATTCTGCTCATGGCCCTCCAACAACCATTGGAGAGCCATAAAAAGGGTCTTCAGGTACCTGCGCGGCATGGAAGATTTGGGGATTACTTACGACGACCTAAATGGGTACATGGACATATATGTGTCAGGGTTCTCAGATGCAGACTGGGGCTCGTCCCCGATCGATCGAAGATCGGTATCGGGGTATGTCTTCCTCTTGGGAGGGGGCACTGTGGCTTGGTCATCCAAAAAGCAGCCTACAGTCGCCTTATCATCTATGGAAGCTGAGTATATGGCGAGTTCAAATGCCACCACACAGGCGATATGGTTGAGAAATCTGTTAAACAAACTCAACTTTATACAGCCTTTCCCTGCTGAACTCAACCTTGACAACCAATCAGCTATCGCACTCGCTTCAAATCCTCAATTCCACGCCAGATCAAAACACATTGACATCCACCATCATTTCATACAGGCCTGCGTCGAAGATGGGAAGATCCAACTGTTTTGGTGCCCAACAGACAAGATGACGGTGGACGTACTTACCAAAGCGCTTCCAGTGCCAAGGTTTGGTCACTTCCATAGCGAATTGGGCATCCTGTCCTGGGCTTAAGGGGGGGTGTTAGAGCTGTGTAAGCCGGCAGGATGTCAGGGCACACACCCTGACTAGCCCGGACCCGGACCCGCATCTGGACCCGCATCCACCTGCTGCGCTTCCCGCACGCACACATGCTCCGTGCGCCACATGCTCTGGGCCCAGTTCCTACCCCTTCATGTGACTTCCGGGTATCCCCGGAAGTTTTGCTGATATTGTGGCCACTGTGGGAAGATGAGAAGTTAGCTTCCTTCTCATCTTCTTACCCACAGTAGGCAAGTGTACATTACTTGCCTTTATCTTATTCATCTTCTTACCCACAGTAGATTGTGCCCTGGATAGGGCTGGCCAGACCTGAGGCTGTGGGCCATAGGGGAGGGTCATGGGGACCCGGGAGTCATCCCCTGACACAGGACTATATTATCACATGTAGATCACATGTAGATATAGTTGATGGATGCAACTGATACTAATTATCTTTGCTGGCATACTCATAATCTAACAGTATCTTGTAGAAAGGGGCCGGGATTCACTCAGAGGGACTTGGGGTAGCATTTTAGTCGAGATTAGAACTGAGGAAAACTACAGGTTCTAATCTACAGGTATTTATAAGGGGGAATGGAAAGGACTTAGTCAAAGTCCGAATGATAATAGAAGAACACCAAAAGGTGCCGAATGATACCGAGAGGTACTGAAAGGTCCTGGATGATATCTTTAATGGGGAACCGAGGTGTCGGGTCGAGGAGGGTGGAGTAAGATGCCAGAAAATGAATGGGAACGAGAAATGGGTAAGGGGGGTTAGCCGACTGAATGGTAAGAAAAAGATAGTCATGTTAAGAATGGAGAGTGACTAATAAGTGATGACATGAGTGGGGTCACCAAAGGATGCAGGTAGCTCCGAAAGCGGAGTTGCGTATCCAAAGGATGTTGGGTGGCTCCAATGAATGAAATGGGTGGAGAAATGGTTTAGGGGTATGTCACAGGATGTCAGAGGTCCATTGGGATATCGGAGCAAATCCAGAGTCTCCAAATGTTCCAACTCGGGACCGAGCTTCCGGGATGGCCATGGCCAAGGTTTGGTGTGCCACAACCAGACCGGAGCTGAGACAGTCAGGAAGGAAGGTGACTTGGGGAGTGAGGAGGCATGGTGTAGGGGATGGTGAAGTTGTTAGGAAGGTGTGGTGTGGTGGGAGTGTGCAGGGTCGGGATTCCAGGATATGACAGACACTATACAACTCCAATGGCTGCAAACCTCAAGTTACCTAAGCTTGATTCACCCGAAGTTAACACTCAGATTTACCAATCGATGCTTGGGTCACTCATGTATGCCACCATTAGTATGCGCCCAGACATCTGCTTTGCTGTCGGTCTATTAGCCCAACATGCTATAGCTCCTGGAGAAGACCACCTTACTGCAATGAAAAGGGTCTACCACTATCTCAATGGAACCCAAGACCTCGCACTCCGGTATGATGGTAGTAAATTCGAAGACCCGGTGGGATACTCAGATGTAGACTGGGCCAGAGATCCCAGCACCCGGCACTCCCTGTCTGGCTATTGCTATATCTTCTGTGGCGCTGCCATATCTTGGGCCTCGAAAAAGCAGCCTACAATTGCTCTGTCAAGCACAGAAGCAGAGTATATGGCAATGACTCATGCTGGAAAGGAAGCGTTCTTCCTCCAACATCTCTATGGTGATGTTGGCATCCCTATCCAGACTCCACTCTATCTCCTGGTAGACAACCAATCAGTGATCCAGATTGCTGAAAACCCTACATTCCATGCATGGACGAAACACATTGAGGTTAGACACCATTGATCAGAGAACAGCTGGAGGATGGAAGATTGGCAATCGAGTACATACCAACAACCAATCAAGTTGCAGACATCTTCACCAAACCACTCAATGCCGAGAAATTTGTGAAGTTTAGGGATGCATTGGGGTTGGTTTCAGTGGGCGCATGCTGAGTGGGCATGTTGGAGTGCAGCGTGCATTCTGGAGGTTTCTGACCAGGTGACTTTCACCTGACCTGTAAATGAATACTTTTCCCTTTTCTATTATTGCGGAATTATCCACTACCAACTATACGGACATACCCACTCTTCTATTCATTTCCTTTTTCCTCAGTTCTCCACGCTATTCAGCTTGAGACTGAGGTCAGTACTACTTTCTTTCATTCTAATTTCCCTTCATATCTAAATGTGTATTATCTTTAGTTAAACTACGCTAGTATTTTCACAGAATGTTCTGGAGTCAGACTGAAGGTGGTGTTGGAGCATGGGATAACCTCTTGGGAGTTGGCAAGGAGAAGGTGACAGGAACAAAGTAGGGCTCTGGTGTCAGTTTCAGAGTTCCAGGAGCCTGGAGTGGAGGTCAGGATTGTATGGATATGACAGCTACATCATCACATCCGATGCAGCAATTGGATGTCCAGATGAACAACCCAGAGGAAAATCCTCCTCCAGGGCAATAACTCTACCCTCGAAGAAAAGGAAAGTGACACAGTAATATTTGAGGCACCCATGAAAACACCTTCCCCCAACTTGAGGCCCTGCACACAATATTGTATGTGAGGAACCACAAGTAACAATTGTGCAGTAACTTGCAAAAAGTGTAATGGCAGTTCATGAACCATCATGGAAGTCATGACATTTCACAAATGGTCACCAAACTTCATGAAGCAGCATGAAGTGTCATACACAGTCATGCCAGTTCATGACAAACCATCATGGAATTTCATGAGATGTCATGAACCTGCATGGGGGGTCATGATTGCTCATGACTCAAGTGGTTCCAGGCAGGTTTTGAGTGGTTACATGCCTGTCTATGAAGTATCATGAAGTGTCATGAGCCTTCATAAAGGATCATGGACCCTCATGGACCTTCATGAATCACTATGAGTCTTCCCAAGAATCATTGTGATTGATCATAAATTAGGATTGTTGGTACAACAATGACAGTTGGGGCATAATGGTTAATTACATGTTAACCTTAATGTCATATCCCAGATCTTCCACCTCTCTCCACCCTATTCCTATACAACTCCTATGATCTCCACCAGCCCTCCCAATCTCTCTCTGCTGCCTCCAGTCAATGCCAACAGCCCTAGGACTACTGTACTCACACAACCAACAACCGCATGGTTCTTGAGCGTGACACCAGACATCCAACCAGAAAGCCTGAACAATGCATGACAGCCAACCGGTTGAGGCCAGAAGGGCGTGACAAGAGCCCCCCCTGGAAGTGCCCGGGTGTTGATGGACTTTCAATGTTATATCCGAGAAAATTTGAAAATGATAATTGAATTTAAACAATCTTGTGTTTCATTTCTGCTTCATACTATGGACGGATTTTCGCTTGCCCGCCGCATTGCTGCTTGTACTGGGGAAGCTATCACATATAAGAATCTTCCTACTCTTCTCATCGGACCCTACTTTCCTCACGAAACCCTGTCCATCAGGGAATTCATTGCATTCCAACTTCCTCCCATTCCAGTCCACACAAAAAGCCCCAATGCGTGCCTCAGCCATAAACCACCATCTACAAAAATATTCTCAGAGAATGATGTTCGCGTATTGGATTGCCCTAGCCGACTTGATGTCGAAGGGCTCATCACAGAGTTGGATATGGATGATGAAAACCCTCTTACCTCAGTCGAGATTGGTTCTAGTTGTATCCCAATAATCATTCTAGAAATTTGGAGGATTCATTTTCAGTTGTGGGATCTTCAAAACCTGTGGAAGGACTCACTTAAACAGACAGAAGATTTAATAAAGAAGGACCCTGGTCAGCAATTTGCGATACAGGCAGCTCAACGTAGACTTACTTTGTGCCAGTGGAATGAGGAAATCCAAGGGTTTTCAAGCATAGGACAGAGTGCCATTGGTGCCTTGATGTGTTATCTTTCCATCTCATGCCTGGTCATGACTGACATTTTTCACCATATCGAAATTTTACAAAGCAAAGTGGAAATGATGAACCTGATGGTTCGGCTCATATCCCCACTTGACTTGCAACTTCTTGCTGGAAGTGCTTCTCAATGAAATGCAAGCCTGGTCAAATACAAACATCTTCCCACATACAAAGGGCTCCGTCAACTTGGGAATGAACTTGTATCTGGGGCTGCAACTCACCTTGGCGGAATCCTACACGTCAACCAAAACCATTGGGTTCCTTTTGTAATCAACTCGAAAGAGTCCGTTGTTCTTCTTGCAGACTCTCTTCACAAAGCTGGTACTAGCACATCAAGAGCAACAGCGGAGGTGATGGAAATCATTCAATGGTGGTTGGATGTGTCCTATTTGGGATCAAATACGCAAGCAGTATCATTCAGAGTCGCTTCACTCCCAATAGCATACCAGAATGATGTTATGTCTTGCGGTTTTTTTGCACTGAATGCATTAGCACATCATTTCATCCCAACTCAGTACAGACTTCACATAGGTGGTAACTCAACTCCCCTAAGAGTCGGTTTTCTAAATATTATCCTCAATCATCACAAAAAGACTGTGAGTAAATGAACAACTCGAAGAGAAATTAATCATGCATACCAATTTGTCACCTGGCATGCACCTTGCATTATGCCGACACCAAAGGAATCATCTCAAATTGCATTCAGGGCCTCGAAGGATTCTTGTTTTGGGCCTCCAACTTTCAGTCGTAAGGTGGTGGGGAAAAATCACCAGCAGGACACTTCCCAACTGGAAGAGTCTGGACTGCTCCGGTACTTCAGCCACGTAACCCCTGAAGAATATCATGTACAAGTGTCAGCAGGGTTTGAAAGATTACAAGAGAAATGTGAAGATAAGCAGCAGGCCATGCAACTCAAGGCAATGAGGCAAGATCAGAGGCGTTGAGAGTTGGCCACTGCAAGACAGCAGCGACTCTGGGCCAAGATCGCAGCAGAGAAAGTAGACAGGATTGACGTATGTATCCACAACTTACATTCAGAGAAAGATACCTAATGCTTGTGAGTTGATAGATCATGAAACTCCGAGACTGAATGGCACCAGTCATGGAGATGTCGAGACCGAAACAATCGATTCAGCGATGGCTAAAGGAACAAAAGCAGCAGAAACCAACATACCAATCATCTGTGACTATACGAGCATGTAGACGAAGGGTACATAGGTTAGCATCATCGACAAATTGGTTCCAACCAATTTTCTGGACGATCATAAGCGAAGCAGTGGAGAAAGTTGGCTGGAAGATGAGCCCGACAGAAATAGTGAAAGAGTGCCAACGAAGATCTGGGAAGTTATTCCGTTTGTTGAGGGCAGATGTAGTTGGGAAGTGGATAGATCGGAGCGGGTCGCGGCCATGTTGGTCAGCTGTGGTCTTGGCAAAGGTTGCGAAGGGGAGTTGCCCAGGTGGTGGAATTACTCGAAAAGGGGTACTAGTGAGTGAACGATTGGCATTAACATCAGTTTTAACTCACACAAGTAATGTAGGCATCTTACCCAGAGACGATCGAGGAGATCAAGCAGACGCTATTGAGTATTCAAAAAGCAGGCGCCACTCTTGATGTGCACCAGATCCGTGGAGTGATTGTTGCACATATCCAGCACACTCGCCCCGAAATATTCAGGACAATAGTCAACAGAGATGGGAGTGCCTTCGCTGCAAGCTCACAGTGGATCCAGAACTTTCTCACAACAGAACTGAACTGGAGCTTATGATGGGCAACATGTGCTGCCCAGAAGCTCCCTGCCAACGCTGATTATCAGCTTTACGCCTCACTCCTCCGTCATGCCTACTCCATTCACCACTATTACATTCCCAGCAACCTGTGAGTGAATTCCAATCAAACGCAGGTCATTTACCAACAAAGTTCAAATTTGACATATGAAAGGAAAGGCCTGTGTCAGGTTTCCACTCTTGGCCAAGATGAGAAGCGCACGTTCACCCTCAACGTAGCTATCTCAGCAAGTGGAATTCTTCTACCCTTCCAGGCAATATTCAAAGGAAAAACTTCTGCGAGTCTTCCTGCTGTGAACTCCCCTTCCCACGATGAAGCGGATCGACTTGGCTTTGTCTTTGAGCTCTCTGGTACCGACAACTACTGGGCAAATTTAAACACAATGAAATCATTCATCACAAACATTCTTGTTCCATACTTTAATGCTGAAAAGGGGCGTCTGTCACTTGATCCAGTTCAAGAATGCATTTGGCAACTTGATGTCTGGTCTGTTCATGCATCACTTGAGTTCCGGACTTGGATTTTTGACAATTATCCCTGGATCATCCTTGACTATGTTCCTGGAGGGTGCACAGGTCTTTGGCACCTGCGATGTCGGTATTCAATGCTTACTCAAGCTCGCGGTAAAGCAATCTCAGCAAACTACTATTGTCTGCAACATCCACTCCCAGTTGCAGCAAGGTACTGGCCCATCCAATATTTCACTTGATACAAGGCTTGGCACACTAAGGGATCGTGTCCCTGCTACTCTGGTTGATGCATACCACTCAATTAACAACCCTCAGCGAATCCAAAAGGTAAATACAACCTTCAGCCTGACATCGCAGTTATATCTAAAAAGTATTACATAGGCTTTTGAATTGTGCTGCTCCGGCGAGTTCAATCTATCTCATTCTAGCCTCACATCCCCTTCACTACAAGCCATCCTCAACAATCTTCCACATCAAGATCCCACTCTCACTCAAGCCATAACCACTCCATGCAAGTTTCCCACTGATGATAGGGGAATTCATCTGAGTTCTGCTGCATTAGTTCATGAGCAACCATGATTCTCCGAGGTTGCTGAAGACAGTGTAGAGGTAATGTTGGAGGAGGTTTATGACCATCTCGATGGAGAAGCGCTACCTGATGGGCTTGCTGAGGTAGATGGTGGTCTTCAGCTGGATGTGATGGCTGCCGAAGACCATGACCCCGAATCTATTGGAGGGGTTAGTGTGGTGGTTGGGACCGAGGTTGATAGTGATGGGTTGGGATGGGGTAAACAAATCAGATGTATGAGAAACCTAGAAAAAGAGATGGATATGTACCGCTTTTAATGTTAGTGCATTACCAAATTAGGATAATTGAATTGAAAGCTACACAGCCACTGGGAGCCCACCCAAACAGCGTGACACTGGACATGGCAACCGCAAAACCTATGTGACGCATGACAAACTTTTCAAAAGTACCGACCGGAAGGCCTGCATGATGTGTGACCGGTTGTTGGTCGCGTGAGTACAGTACCTCCTCCTTCGACTCTCTCCCACTCTGCCTCCCATCTATGTCCGCAACACCTCTGGACCTCCACCACCATACCACCACCTCCTTGGACCCCTTGTTCAAAGGAGATGGACCTGCTTGTTGTTGATAAACCCCAACTTGCCTATCCACCCTCCTTCCTACCTCTGGTCTCCACACCTCCTTATTTCTGGTACCTCCCCATTCCTACCTTACCTCTGGTCTTGATAATCTTTATTGTTTTATCATTTGATATTTTCTACAACCCCAATCTTCCAGACTACAACTTCTGGGCTCTGGACCTTTCCAGACGTCTTTCTCTGTAGTCCCCTGCTTATTCATAGACCTTTCCAGACCTTTCCATTCAGTTGGCTTTTAATTCTCTCACTCCACAAACCTCAGACATAATTCAGGCTTTTTGCCTATTCCTTATTTGTCCTGTGGATTCTTTTCTATTTACTTCCCCTTCCCCTTGGTAACCTTTGTTTACCTTTGGATCCAATTATTTCTGCTATATGTACATGTGTACCACTCTAGTAAATAGTTCCCCCTGTCAGGGCACACCTGCCTGACCCCACGCCGCACCCCGTGCCGCACCGCACTACCCCGTCAGTCTCCCCTCCCCCATTTTCCCCTTCTCTCTATCTCTATTTCTATTTCTATTCTACGGTCGATTTCCCTTTCTCCATGTACTACTACATACCTGACCCCGCCCCCTGATCGCTGCACACGCTGCGCACACTCCCACCTACTGAACGGCCACCTCCGGGATCTCCCACAGAGACACCCAGGGAGGTGCGGCTGTGTGCGGAGATGACGTGGCTTCCTCCACGTGACCCTGGCCGCATGTATATAATAGTGCCTGGGGTGGGAACAGAAGAAGCAGCCTTCTTGTCAACTTCCCACTTCAGGTAAGTACCGTAGCTTTTCCCTTTTAATGATAATCACCAACTTCCCACTTCAGTGGTCGGGGATGCTCACCCCATGACGGGATCGCTGCTGTAGGCGGGCACAGCCGGTACCACGCAAACAAGCCGATTATCGCGATTCTACCACCCATGTCAAGTACCCCACTCCCGAAACACATCTACCATTGTTCCATATACCCCTTCCACGTTTTTCATATTTCTTCCGATTTTTTCAAGCCATTCCTGACCACGGACAACCATCAGTTTCCAAATTGGGCAACTGTCACCCGCATATTCCACCGCTTCCTCTGTATCTCCATCAATTCTCCACCGATATGGACGAATTTGGTATCGTTGGAAAGCCCTTGTCAACACGAGTCGAACGATGTTACGAGTGACGCATTTGGCTCAGCGGTTGTTCCGATCGCCATGGTTCCTTATTTCCTTAACAACATCAATATTTCTTTGATATTGCTTTTTTCTTATTTGTTCCTTGTGGATCTGTTGCCATCCTAAACCCGTCGGATCATTCGGATTTCCACGTATTTCTTTCATATTTATAGTTACCCTCTTTCCTGTATTTACAAAAAAAAAAAAGGACTCCCCCAAACAGAGAGAGGTGCTCCCCAAACGAACATGAAGTTCTAGCAGACGTTACCAGCGCCCAGAGCGGCGAATACGAAGCCAAAGAGGCTCAAGACATCGCGCAGGGACAGAGTTCCCATTAGTTTGATTATCAGTGAGATTTACGAGTTTATCATTTTTATCACATCGCACCCGGACCATTTCTCCTCCCCCCTTCCTCTTCATCCGAACCTCCCCTGAGCATTCCCAACACTTGGTCCCCTCTCTTTCTCGTTAGGGTGGTAGATCCCTTGCCCCCTTACACCGCTACACACAGCCGCTACTCGTCCCACCGAGTCCCGCACGCAGGGACCTC